ACATTCAGTTATCTTAACTATGTTTAAAGGAAAGCTGCAGAAAACAGCTCGCAATTTTTATGCATCAGGAAATTCCTTATAAAATTAATATTATTAATTGAGAGGTATCTATAAATCTACTTTATGAGGCTGTTGTTTGTTTTGCTCAGTGAGAGCTGCCCCTTTATTAATATTTCATGGTAAACAGTCCTTTTGATGCAGTTTCTGATAGAGGAAATCCAACTGTGCCTTTGAGTGCATGAACAGAGCAAAAACATCATGTTAAGAAGCTGAAATGAACAAGAAAAACTTCTCTTAAACCAACTTTGGCCCTAAAGTGGAAATTAAAAACCTGTGGTCCCCTCCTATATTGAGAAAACACATGTACCTATTTGAACATCTTATGGCAGCTTTGTGTTAATGGCTCTGTTTAATTATCTTTGACACTTTATATATTAAAGCACTTTGATAATTCTACTCTTTACAACTAGCTTTAGTGATTTTTTTTTTTTAATTAGACTACATTTTTTTCCTTTCATGTGACCTGAAGAACAAGGTCTGTGAAACTTTTTATGTTCCAGTCTGTCTCCGTGTGCAGCATGAATTTCTTGCCTTGCATTTCCTTGACAGCACTCCTTATTTCCCCAGTTTCCTTTGTAAAGAACTGGAATTTGAAAGAAATTATCTAGCTGTCCATTCTTAATTATTGCAACTTGGTCCCCACATGCACATATGATTCCCCACCTGCACAGATCTGGGAACTAATTGTATGTGCCTGTGCCTTTCCAAATAATTTTTAAAGGTATATTTTTAAGACACAATAAGGCATATATACCAAGCAACTGGATGTCACTTTGGCAAATTCTGTGAGGTTTGCATGGGAAGAAAAACCTACAGATTTTGAGAGAAACCAACTGCATGCTGTTTGTTAAACTGCAGTCAGAGAGTGGCCTGTTTTGTTCATCTCGTCTTTCAGATGCTTCTTCCTGTCCCACATGAACGTAGTCACACCAATGCTGAAAGACAGTAAGCTGATTCCAGAGCCACAGTTTTAAATTGCCTGCTGGTATAACAGTAGTGAGTGATCTAGAGCTTGACTCTCCTGCCGGTGAAAATGAGCCACACAAGTTGAGATCTCAAGATCTTTTGAGCTCAGGGCCATGAGGTACCACCTCCCTTCTCTTTAGCAGCAACTGCCTTGAAGTCATGCATTTTTTCATTTCACAAATTTAGATTTCATCACAGCTCCTGTTTGCACAGCAGCACCTCTGTGTGTGGTGAATTAAGATCAGTGGTGGCTGATTCTAATGTAGCTCGATCCTTAACTGCATTTTCTTTCCTAACTGAACAGGCATCCCCTTTCTGCCCAAATTCTGTATGGTTTATTAGGTTAATTTTTTTTTTCCACAGCTTCTTCACTGTAGCCAGGTCAAAGACAGCTTATGCAGTTGATATCTCTATGCATTTTTAGACTCAATAAAATACCTTGTCTCTTAAAAATTTATATATATTCCTAAACACAGCTACCAAGTTTTCTTTTTGCTGCTGGGCTTTAAAGTGCAATTCAAGTAAGTCAGAATTTAAAACAATCAATGACTTAGAGGAAAAACAAATGATTGGTTAGTTGGTTGGTTAGGTTTGGGCTTGTTTCCCTTGGAGGTATATTTGAGAGGACTAAGGATGCAAGTGTGTGCTGTGGTGCCTAACACACTGAGCCCCTGGGAGTCAAGTTTTTCAGCAATTGTTAGCCCCAAAAGACTCAAAAATGTATTGGGCAATATCATAGATATTCACAACTTGAAAATATGCAGATGGATGGTAGGGTCTAGTTCCTACTCTTCCCTCCTCTGGGGCCCTGAGAAGCAGGCAGTGGTTTTGCCAGCACTGTAGCTCTTTCTGTCAGTTTTCAGCAGGTTGCAGTTCCTACAGCTGCATCTCCAAGTGAAGTCTTCAGACAGTGTTTTGGTATCAGTCCACTTGTTGCTACAGCAGCCCAGCATGTCCAGCTTTCAAAGCTGTTCTTAAGCTGAGACACAAGTGTGTGAAGCAAAGTTGCTCATTCCTCCTTCCCCATGGGGCCCAGGGCCCTGCCTGCATTCATCCTCTGCCCTGCCATCCTCTGCCAAGAGGAGCTGCTGGTGCCTTTCTGAATGCAGGTACTTGATGTGAACAGTGGGGTCATGTTAAAAAGAAGCAAAATATCAATTTGACTGGAAGCAACTTAGACAGTTGCCAATTCTTTTATGTTTCTCTTTCTTTAATAAGAGGTGAGACCTCAGGAAGTCAGTAATGAATATTTAAACACACTCTGAAGTGGCCAGATGTAGTTTTTCATGGGCTTCTGTCCTGGTCACTTTAAGTCTTTGAAATCTTGTGTTGAATTATAATGGGAGCAGGGGGGAGGGAGGAGAGAACCAGCTCCTTTTTGTTCCTTACTCTTATTGGCAATAATGAATGGAAGGAATTTAATCCAATGAAAGTAATGAAACTTAATCCTTGCAATGCATCTTTGTTGCCCAGTTCAAAGAACTATTTTAATGCATCTTATTCACACCATGCCCTCCTTCCCCAACTGAAGACACTTCAAATAGACTGATTCAGAATGCACACTAATACAGCAGTAACTCTGTCTTGGAAACCTTTCTATTGATTATTTTCACTTGCCTGCCTGAGTAGAGAATTGATCATTTACTGACCTGAGGGTAGAACACTAAGAATAGAAAGGGTTCTCATCCAGCCCTCTTGTTGAATTTTTATCATGAGCATTTGTTTTAGGAAGTCTTAAAGTGCCTTATGATTTTAAAATTATATTTTGCCTGAAACATATGAATGTAGAATATCTCTAACAGTATTTCATTATAAACTGTAAAACAAATTGCAAACACTAAACCAAAAATGTTACTTCTACTGTTGTCTGTCCATTATTTGCCGACATGTCAATTCTGGGGTTGCTGCAGGCAGAACCCCTGTGGGATTGTATTCATTAAAATGAGGCTATAGATGGTTGGGGAGGAGATGAGATTTGACCTGTGCTGTGTAAAACCAAGAGTAGGTGAGACTTCCAAAGGGACTGCTAAAACTCTTGGCTTCTGGGACCCACTTGTGAAAGACCAGTGTGTGTTACAGAACCAGACCCTGCTTTACTTCTGGTGTAGTTTTGCAGAAATTTGCTCTGCAGTTTAAAGGTAGAAGGAACTCATAAACAAGATAAATACACAAACAAGAGAAGGTGGTGTCATGGTGGACTTGTCCAGCAATATGAAACAACAGTTCTAAACTTATGGATTGTTTCTCTCTTAATATGCTAACCCTTGAAACCTGTAAATGACTTTTTGAATGTTAATTTTCTGATCATGTTAACTGGGTAATGTGCTTCCATTTCCTGAGTAATGCCATGTTTCCTCCTACATCCTGAAGAGTTTTGTGATCTGTTGCCAAAATGTTTTGGATCCTGCTGTGCAATTACTAATTGTCATTGCAGAAATGTAGTGTATTGGAAAACAGGACAGTGGGAAACAAGAATTACTTGATATTAACTTCAGCAGGAACTATTTCAGAGATGGTTCAACTTCATATATAATGAAAAACTTCTCAAATTATGCAGCAGCTCCATTTCAAATAACATAAAATACCAAGGAATGCAGTGACCTTGCAGCAATAGCCAGGCTGAGAACATTCTTGCTTCTTTTTTTAACTAATTTTTAAGGATACCCTTTTCTATGCCTTCTTAATACCTACCTTATATTGGGAAACAAAATCCTGGAAGTGCTAATTCCTGACATGAGTTGGCCCGCTTCTAATCTCAAGGAACAAATCTTGTCTCTCAGACCACCTTCTCTGCTTTTAGCACTAATGCAACAAAAAGAGTGCAGATGAAACATGAGTTATGTAGATGCCTGAAGCAGATGCTCAGAATGTCAAATTGACATTTTAAGCTCATGCAGTTGCACAGATCTAAAGGGGAGCGTAATGTTGCACTGAAAGTACGTCATCATAAAGAAGATCTATATGTTTCCTACTCAGATGGGCTGCCTTGGGGGATCAAGAGCTGAATGTACACACCTTTCTGCATTAAGGTTGTGATTTGTAGATGCCAACCTTTAAAAAAAAGTTTTTGGGAGAAAGCCCTAGTGCTGTATTAAAGAAGGCCAGGGCCATCTGGATATGGCTTGCCATGTCCGAGTGACTTTTCCCCTTCCAATAGCCCCTGCTCTATGGTGACTTAATGTAAGAGGATGAGAGCCTGTGGTTTTGTACTGCAGCTTGCTGCAGTCTCCCCTCTCCCCAGTAAGCACAGTGGGGAGTTTTCCAAGGAGGTTTATCAGCAAACAAGTTTTTTTTAGCAATGAGGAGAAGGTAGTCCACAGCAGAGCCCAAGTCCGGCTTCCAGTTGTGGCAAGATGAGGGTGCAGCTCATCTGGTGTCAGCTCAAGGACTGATCACCCAAGGAAGACCTAGGACTCCCTTCTCTTAGTCCTGGCCTGGGACTTACTGGTGGTAGCTCAAAGCTTGCTCTCAGACTGGTAAAGGATTAATGTATTTTCAGAGTACTGTCCAAGTGCTCTGTCTGTAACCCCTTTCTTGACTCCGTGGAAAACGTAGGACCTGAGGTCAGTACTGAATAGGAATTTGTACATTTATCCTAAATATTACACTTTGATCAGAGTGTCAAGGCCCCACAAGGCTGGCTGCCATTTACACATCTCTGAAGATCATTGTGTTGGGAAATAAATGATTTCATCAAGCTGTGTCAGTCCATGTGTAAGGCAACGTGACAGACCAGTGACAGACCAGCGTGTTACAGGGTCCTTGCCTGTGACACCAACAATGATGAGGTAAGCTGGGAGGGCAAACAAACCCTTCATCTGGGTGATAGTTTGGGTGGGGGCAGGGGGTCACAGACTTAGCCCAGCAGGTTGGCATGTTACCCTTTACACCTCCAAGGACACAAATATTTACTACTGGTGAAAGGATCAGTATGAAAGGCACAGGATTGTTGTGTTTGGGGGTTGTCCAGAGCTTTGAAAATGGATAGGAAAGGAAAATGCCTTTGTGGAAAAGTGTGTTTCAGTAATTCCTGGTGTTCCTGGCATCCATAGTAAAAGGTACTTTTTAACAGACATGCGTAGTATTGAGCAAACATTGTCTTTTGTGCCAGAAACCGTTGTCCAAAGCCTAGCTTTGCCAAAGCTGATAAATGTTTATTAACTAGGGAGGGCAGCTCCATTGTTCCTCGGAACAGCCATGTGATGGGTGTAAATGGCTTAATGGGTTCTGCTTGTGAGCAGGATGGCACTGAACAAGTCTTCACCGAACAGGCATATCATGGGAATGGGAGGAGTGCGGATGGAGATCTGGATTCTGGAAGTAAGAGACCTTGTATTTCCCTTAACAATAGCCCTCTGCTTCAAAGGCACTGGGGAGGTTTTGGAGGGTGGGATAAGTCTGTCCTTTAGGGGACATCCTTTGCAACAGGTAAACAGATCACTGCCAGTCTCCTACCTCCTTGGCAGAGGATCCCCCTGGGCCTCTTGTGGCAGTGCCTTGTTTCCCCGTGTATCCCCTTGCTCTCTGTTGAAGGACCCTGAACTCAACCCCCTGCTCATAAAACCTCCCTACAGTCACAGAAGGGCTGGTGAAAGCACTGGCTGACCCCGGGGCTTTGTTTCTGTTATGAGTAGCAATGCTGAAAGGGACTTGCTGGAAGACTTTAAAACATCCCTTGCATTTCTATAACCAAACACCCTTTATAATCTAAATCAGACCTGAGTGGTTTGCAGCAGTGGTTTTTATCTTCAAATAAACACTGCAGTGTGTTTTCCAAAGTTGGGTTCCTTAGTTACTCTCTTCAGGTATTTGGACTTAAATGGTATCTTTTTGTTTGTTTTTCTTTCTTTAAAGCAGTCTTGAGTCTTCTACTGAGAGATATAATCATAAAAGGCCTTCCAGAAAACCCCATGCAACTGGGCTCGTCAAAACACGTTTTGAAATGGTCCAGGAATGTCTGAAACTCTGGTCTTTCACAACTTGCAACCCCATCTGGCTGCCTTGCACTTTGAAAACCTGTTCAGAGATGACCCTTTGCCATGGTTTGTAGGGAAAGCCCACACTATGGTGCCTGGCTATGGCTTTTCCCTAGACCCAGGCACAGCCCTCCAAGAATCCTGCCTAGAAACACTTCATGGTGCTTTTAGGAAAGCAAATTATTTTTGGTGTGCATGTGGAGGGGGGAAGTATGGCCTTGGGAGGCAAAATCTTTCCTTGACTGAATATTGACAGCTGGCATATCCCACACTTGTCATGGCAACAGGTATTTTCATCCCTGTGCTCAGAAGTCCCTACAGTTGTGGGCCACGAGGAAGAAAACTGCTGTGGAGCATATATCCAGGAGCATCATGTTTGCTTCTCCACCTCTTGAAAGTGGCCTGTGGGCATCTTACATTTAAACTCTACATGATTTAGGTATCTGCTCTGGTTTATTGCTATAAATATGGCCTGCATTAATAGTGGCTGGCAAAGCCTTGATGGGGTGTATTCCTGCTCCTGTGTTCCCCACTTCAAGCAGGGCATTGTGGCTAGTGAATTCCCCACAGGAAAGAGGGCAAAGGCAGGGCGTCTCCCAGGACCAGTATGCTCCCGCGGCAAGGAGGAGCCTGAGCTTGTGCTTGTTTACCTGCACCAGCTGCACATAAATGCCATTTGCACAGGAGGGGATTAGCAGGGTTTATCTTCTACCAACACCCTGGAAAAGTGCATGTGCAAGGGGAGGGGGTGTTACTGTAATTACTGCTGATGGTGTGGGTGGCCATCCCAAGAACAAGCTCTCCTAAGAGCTGGCCAGGTTGCTAGTGAGGATGTTAACAGCACCCATCCCTACGTGGTCCAGGCAAGGCACAGTCCTGGCTGAGTGGTGCACACAAAAGCAAGAGAGGCCCATGTGAGGTTGCCTCCTAGGCTTAGGAAATGGCAGGTGCCTTTGCCACTCTGCAGTTGAGCTTTTGCATCCAAAAGGTCATTTCTCTTGGAGAGAGAGGTTCGCCAGTGGCTGCCTCCTTCTGCTCTAGGTTGTCACAGGAATTCTGCTCCCAATGTCATGGATCTCCCGCTCCAAGGTGACTGCCTTTGAGAAGCGTGTTGAAAATGGGTGGCAAAAGTGTCGCTTCTGCATTACACTACCGGTTCCCTAAGTTTTAGGGGGTTCACATCATGAAAGAACATCAACCCCAGGATAATTCCTCAAACCCAATACTAGCTTCTGAACCATGAGTGTCCTGAGAGGGAACACCTTCCAACATCATTTGTGGTCTCCTAGCAAAAATGCAAGGGGTGATCTGGGTCATTCATCATGGGGTCTGAGGGTGGCTTCTGTAACAGGTGAGTGAGAAGGAAACATCCTCTTTAATGGAATTTTCTGAACTCCACTCTTTCTTCAGACAAGCTGTAGCTTTTCAACAAATTTATGGAATATGCCTTCTATACCATTCCATACTTCACAAGTGTCTAGTGAGGGTAAGTCTCACCTGATATTTTTTAAGCCACCATACTGTTGTTCCCATATTTTGGGGGACAAAGATGAAGCCTCATGATACTTTGACATGACAAAATAAGGCTCTGATCTGACATTACTAAATAGCAATGGTGGTGTGACACAGGGCCTATGGATATAGCAGAACATACTTAATCATATATAAAGGTAACAAATGTTGCTTTTGCTATGGATAGGGAAGTAGAAATATGAAATATGCCTCATAAATAAGTATTTTGTATTCATCAATGCATCAACAGATGAATCGTCCAGTAATATCTGGAATGATGAGGAGATTCATGGCTATTGTGACCCAGCAAATCCTTAAGATGATGATGGCTAGTTTGTCACCAGCAGAAAAGCTTTTTATCCTTCCAAAGGCTCTCCAGACAACTGTAACTGTTGTAGTCTTGATCCAGGCAACCACAGGAGGTGGGCATGGGCATGGGCTTGGTTCATACAGTGCATTAATTCCTGAAGTCCACAGTAATAGCCCCGCAAAGAAAGGCTGGAATGGCATTTGCAAAGGCTGTTCCAGTCACCTTTTGCTACTGCTTCAGGTGCCAGGGTAATATATTTTCCCAAGCCTACTTTTCAGTTACCAAGTACATCCTTGAGTTTAACTAACCCTTGCAGAAGCTGAGTTGGTGTTTTATGAGAAGACATCAATGCTGGCACTCCTGACTACAGTGATAAAACCAATTCTCTATTGCCTGTGTTTTCTCCTCGTCATAACGTGCCTGAACATCTCAGATCTGAGAAGTTTCCCAGTGACTGCTGAATTGTACATGGCAGCCCAACCATTTCAGCAATTAATTTCTTTTTTCCCCTTTCCTTTTACAGTAACAAACTTTTCAAACTTGAAAGTCCTGTTGCTTTTTTCACAAACTTCTTTCAGAATTCTCCAGGGTGAATAAAGCTGACAAACATCTTGTCTTCACAATCTTTTATCCAGTAACAAGTGTCTTCTCTATGCAAATTTCATTGGTAAAGATCTAGTCATAAACTTTTTCACGACATCCTTTTTTAATTTCTTTTTAAGAAAAGAAAGGTGTGTTTCTTTTATTTTTAAAGCAGCTCGTGATGAATGGGCTTTCAGAACCTTTAGAGAGACTGAGGAGTTCACAACGTTGGGGCTGGTGCGTGTTCTCCTGTAAAGCCTGTGATTATAATCCTTTTAAAGGACAGTACACAAAAACTGTTGTGGGTTGGAAAATATTCTCCCATCTCAGTTTCTAAATGTTGGGGTAAAGCAATCTGCAGTGGCTGCTTTGAATTTCTTAGTGGCAACAAAGCAGTGAGTTTATTGATCAAAGAGCTTCACAGCTTAGTTAAAATTTCTGTATTAAAGATCTGTGATTTTTCAGGTACGTGTCCTTGACCCAAAATAGCTTTAAAGGCTATGGAAAATCTATCATATGACTTGTATTCTAGCGGGCATATTTAGATCAGTGCCCATCAAGGATAAGATGTACTTAAGTGGTTGTTAAATTGGGTGTTGCACATTTGAAATATCCTCTCTGCTTTTGAAATTTGTTTGTGCCAGCTTTTACAAAGAGTAGGAAACAAATGGTTCCTTGTATGCCAGGCTTGCATTTGCCTTGGTTCTCAGTCATCACTTCTGTTCCTGCTCCACTTTCCATATTAGCTTCTGCTGGTGGGCTCCTGGCTTCTAACTTCCTATTTACTAAGCTATTCTTGACATTATCTATATCAAAACATAGATGGTGGTAACTTCCATTTCCTGACTCTGTTTCTCATAACCCATTCTGCCTTTGTCTCTAAAGTCAACAGCATTGTCCTTGTGAAAATCAAGGCTTCACATTGATTCAACAGACTGATTCAGCTTCTCAGCAGTACTGGCTTATCTTTACTCCCATTTGCCTCTGCACAGCACGCCTTTCTTTTCTTCTTGTTCTTCCTTTTGCACAAGGATTTTTCCATGAGCCCATTGTACTTCTTTTCCCTCCCATTCCTCACGTTGTATCCCCTTCTCTGGCAGCCAGTGCATATGTCCACTCTGCCAAGGAACCCACTCTCATGGACGTGTTTTTCCACAGGGCTTGTGCAAGTGATTGGTTGTCTTTCCTTCTGTCCTCACATCTTAGTGCCTCCTCTTCTTCCTCCTTGTGCGCCCAGAAACACCCTCCAGAGCTGGCCCCAGCACTCCATAGATGTCACCATGGGGATGGATAAGGACGCAGCCAGCTGGTCTCTGCTTCGGGATGGCCCATTCAGGATAGACGTGAAAACCTCCTCATTCAACATGTTCCCGCCAGCATCACAAACAAATACTGAGTGATGAACATCTTCCACCAATGCCCTCTGAGCCACATGGTTGTCAGCCTCAGGCTCAGACTGAAGGCTTTGTTTCTAATGTCTGCCATGTGCAAGAGTTTTCCTTGACTGTGAGAATCTGGAAATAGGGATGTGCAGTCCTTACCTGGCAGCAGAGTGCTTAGCATCAAGGGAGACAAGTGACAAGGGAACATCTTAAAAGGAAGGCGGTGGCCTGTCTTTCCAACTCTTAGAAGGAAAAATGCTTCAGATGTGGCAGCTAGAGCCAGAAACAAGGGATGTTGTGCACTGCATGTGCATTAGATCTGCATTAATAGAACGGGATTTGGTTTCGGTTTTATTCTCTATTGTTAGAAAGAAAAACATCTTCACCATGGCAGGTAGAAGAAAGGACATGGTGAATAACTGAGGTGAGATCATTATGTGACTTCATGAGGAGTCACAAACTGCCACAATTGAAGGAAACTATCATTTACCACTTGTTATTTAGCAGACGGGCACAGCTGAAACTCGGCTCCACTGGAAACTTTATTGTTTCCCTGTC